GTGTCCAGAGAAGGGCAACGGAGCTGGTGCAGGGTCTGGAGCACAGGTCTGATGGGGAGCGGCTGAGGGAACTGGGGGGGTTTAGTCTGGAGAAGAGGAGGCTGAGGGGAGACCTCCTGGCCCTCTACAGCTCCCTGAAGGGAGGGTGCAGAGAGGGGGATGAGTCTCTTGAACCAAGGAACTGGCGCCAGGCCAAGTGGGAATGGCCTCAAGCTGTGCCAGGGCAGGGTCAGACTGGCTCTTAGGAAGTATTTCTTTGCAGAAGGGGTTGTTGGGTGTTGGAATGGGCTGCCCAGGGCAGGGGGGGAGTCCCCATCCCTGGAGGGGTTGACGAGTCAGGCTGACCCAGCGCTGAGGGATCTGGTGGAGTTGGGAACGGTCAGTGTGAAGTTAATGGTTGGACTGGAGGAGCTTCAAGGTCTTTTCCAACCGAGATGATTCTGTGATTCTGTATGCATCCCCAGCTTGGATCTCTTAGCAATCTTTCTGTGGGGTACTGCAACAAGTCCTGCTGCTCTCGACCATAAAACTATTGTTTACAAATCCTCTAAATCTTCTTGAGCAGTCACTGGGGCAGCATAGTAGGAGAGAAAATACAGACTTTGCAGAATTTCTTGGTTGCTCTCAAAGAAGTCCAGTTAAAGACCTTTGGAAAAGTCCCTTGTTGAAGTTTTCCCCTGAGTTTCTGTAGCCTTTCAGGGCAGCATCTCCCCTTGCCTTCTTACCCTCACAGCAGAGGTAAAACCTCTCTCCTTGCACTGAGTGTCCCTCCTGCGCCTGATGGATGCCCTGCACAAACTCCAGCCTGTTGCCTTTTGTCATGTTTCCCTCCACCTCTGAGCGGGTTGGAAGCAAGGCCCGTTGTGATGGGGAGTCATCAGCAGCCCGTGAGGCTGGGAGTCAGGCTTTCAGCAGGGTGTCAGAGCTTTCCAGGGCAGGGCCATTGCCTGGAATGCAGCAGAGTACTCAGGCCTTGGGCAAGCTTAGACACATGTTGATGCATAATACAAGATGGAGCCTATCACTTGATATCGGCCTCTTCCAGGCAGTCACGGGGTTGGGTGAGCAGGTACGCCACGCAAAACAGGAGGTAATGTGACTACCAAATCAGAGTAATTACGGGAACGTTTCTCCTAATTCCCTGTTGTCTGTTCCATTGTAAAGGCATTCTGTGTTGTAGGGATGCTGAGTAGGGGGCAAGCGGCACAAGGAAAACTGTGGCATTATTTTGTAAAAGGGAGTGAGGGGAAATCGGAGGGGAGAAATAAAAGATGCAGTCTACAGCAGGCCACAATAATGCAACACAGAAACTCTCTGACAGGAATAATTTCAGTATCTTCTGCATTTGTTCCCTTTGTAACATGGATCGTTGTTGAGTAGTTCAAGGCGCAGGGCTGGAATCCTCGAGGTCTAGATTTTTTTCATGTGTTCCCACCTGCTGGGTCATTGTACAGCCTGAAAACTTAGCTAGTTTAAAAGGGTATGACAACCCAAAGATTAAATCTAAAAGGAGCAACATTTGAATATAGAAAAGGTGACTCGTGAGACACGCAAAACTCTGCCTGTTTCCTTCCCAGCTGCCCAGAGCCAGCGGTGTTAGGAATTTGGTGCCCAAGGCAGGCTGTGGGCAGCAGCTTCGGGCAAACCAGCCCCTTCTCCTTGGGGGGCTGGAGGTCCTTCCTCACCGCAGACCTCCTGTGACCCGGGGGCCAAACGTGCTGCGGCTGCAGGCGCTGGGGTGGAGGAGCACACCGAGCAGACCCGAAGGCGAGGCGTTACAGCGCCTAGCGATACACTACTCCGCCTGGGAGAAAAGCCAAGAACGCGGCTGTCCTGGATGGGAGAGCTGAAAGGGACTGCTCTGCCTGCTGGAGTGTGACGGCCTAAGGACGGGTGAGGAGCGAGGCTGGGTGGAGGAGAACTGTGGGGCCGAAGGGCTCAGCCCTGGAGGGGCTGGGGGGCTCAGGAGCGGGGGAGCAGGGGCCGGGGGTGGCTCCGGGCAAGGGGCTCAGCGGCAGAGCTGAGCTGCAGGGAGAGG